AGCGTTTTGCTGATGTTGCTGAGGTGAAGGAAAAAACGACGGAGGCGCTGTCAAGCATCTCAAAAGATGAATTTAGACAATGTTTTGAAAAATGGAATAAAAGACTAGACAAGTGTATTAGTGTAAGTGGAGAGTACTTTGAAGGGGATTGAAGGTTTGTGCTTAAAATTTGTTAAAAAAAAAATAAGTTTGGTTTCTTTTGCGTACCCCCTCGTATTATATGATTGTGGTGAGTAGCACTAATATGGATCCATATTGGGATAGATCAGTAACAAGGGACATATCTGATGAGACTGCCTGAAGATGGTCCCATATGTGGACCGAAACATGTCACAACTATCAAATAAGACCAATGTGAGCAGTTCGATTGATTTATTTTTATTGTTGTTTTGGCGGCCACATACCACAGAAGAAAAGTCTTGTTTGTTCAGGGAAGACCTGTCTGGTGATTTGGTTCTAGCCATGTGTCGGGTAGAATCTGTCAGCTTTCTAATGAAGCTATAACGATCTGCGTCACTGTCAGATGAAGCCGCACTCTCAGAGATGTATTAGACACAGTATACCGAAATTATTGACTTGGAAGTACTGAAACTGGATCTTAAATGAAGAAAAATGTTAAGTCAAGAATGATAAATGAGGGTTCCACTGTAATTAATAACAACTTTTATCTTAAGAAGGTTCCTGTTTGAAGTAACTTCCATTTATCACTCTGTGAGTTGCTAGCCTCTCATCATGGAGGCCCAGGGCAATCAGTGTGGGATATATGGTGAACTAAGTGCCAAGTATTTACTTTTCCTCTGCCAGTTATCATTTTGTCGCCATCTGGGACTGGTGCGATCATTGGGACCACTCGCAGACCAAGTCCAAAGGGACACAGTCTCAACCCATTTCAAGAATAAAAAACTACAAGTCTCATTGGCATGTGTGATTTATAGATATTGTAACTTAACTTAACCATTACTGGTTACAGATGTGTCTGAATACTAGGGACCACTTCAAAGCTATCGGAGATGTCGCTAGTGCTAACCGTTTTGAGCAGTTGGCATTACACTCGACAAAAGATCTGAATGTGGTTCGCTGCGCACACAAACGTAGTGAAGCAATCCCAAAGTTCCATTATGAGACAAGAAACTTCGCTATTGTGCAGTGAGTACTCGTTTTGTTTGCTCAGACTTATGTTTTAGTGTACCGAATGCCAGCTATTTCAGACACTCCTAACTCATATTATGGAGGTTCTCGGTTTGGATCTTGGCTTGGGCACCTTTGATCCTGACAGATTTTTTTGTGGTTTTCCTTAGTCTCTCCAGGAATATGCAGGGACAGTACCTCAATTAGTCTGTGAAATTTCCTTCAGCAGATTGTTCCTCTGTCATCCTAGCACCCAGCACCATGTGCTCATAACTACTGATGCCATTGTAACATAACCCACAGAAGAAAAATCAAGTTCCAGTAGAGGTGCACAATGACACAAATTCTTTTGTGGGTTATTTAAAGACATTGTTAGTATCTAGGCTCCATTGCATCGGAAAGGATTTGTAAGGAAGCAGTCATGGCCTAAACAAGGTACTGCCATGGCACTTGGATGGAGGGACTGAGGAAAACCCACTAAAAATCTCAGTCACGATAACCAGTGCCCTGGTCAAGGTCTGAATCAGGTGCCTCCCAAGTGCAAGCCAGTGGTGTTCCCTATGGACCAACCTGTGTCACAAGAAATATTTAACTCATCGCTGTATTTTTTTAGTCCTCTTCCCCTTTTTGAAAAAATGAAAGTTGGCTTATGTGATCATCTCGCCATCTTTCTCTGTATCCTCCCTTATCATTGCTAGGCAACGATTGGTAAACATATTCCCACAGCAATGAATACACATGCAGCAATAGAAGAATTGTTGGATATGTCATTTTTTATCCTTTTCATGTTGCATCAAAGGAAAGTAGATGATGGTTTCTTCCCAGAACTTCTTCTGTATGTAACATGTCGGTATTGTGATCTTATGGATTGCAACTCTGTGTAGTCATATGAGTGGAAACCAATATTTTGGACGAAATGTGCTGCCTCCATCTTCATTGTTGAAGTGTGTAGTGTGTGGCTGTGGTATATAGGCAGTTTGCAAGGAAGNAGTATTGTGATTTTATGGATTGCAACTTTGTGTAGTCATATAAGTGGAAACCAGTATTTTGGACGAAATGTGCTGCCTCCATCTTCACTGTTGAAGTATGTAGGGTGTGGCTGTGGTATATAGGCAGTTTGCAAGGAATGTCACTGAGGGCATAAGGAAATGGAGCCCAATGTGGAAACAGGAGGTAGGCAGATGGCATTTTCTAACACCCCATTCATTGCCTGAAACACATTTTCAGTACGTTACTGTTTGACATCTGCATGTGTTAGGTGTGTGCTAATGTAATAAATAAAACAAGATATGTGTGGGTTTGTGTGCCTCTATAGTCTAGTGGTCAGAGTTCCTGGCTACAGATCCAGAGGTCCAGGTTTGATTCCCAGCACTACAGATTTTCTGACAAGTAGTATGTCTGAAACTCAGCCTCATGAGGATACTTGAGGAGCTATTTCAAGGAAATAGCAGCTCCGGTCTAGAAAACCGAAATTATCAGCCATGGGGATTTGCTGTGCTGACCACGTGACACCCCCTATCCACTAAAGTTGGAACTCACTTTGCCGGCAAGTGGTGGTCACTTGGTTGGTATAGTTTTCTGGTGGACTAAAACTACAGAATGGGTTTGTGTGTTAATGTTCTAACTCAAGAATCAAGGAACACTGAAAGCTGAAACTTCGCATATGTACTTACAGAACCATAAGGGTGTGCACCTCAGGCTTTTTTTCCCCCTTCTGTTTACAGGCCGCAATTAAGGAATTTACACATTTGCAATCGGTAGCATAGTTGGTTGAGGCACTACCAGCCGGAAGGTCACAGGTACAAGTCCCAATGAGGTCATTGGATTTTTTTCAGTTGACCTAATCCTTCCAGCCGCTCTGTGGCCCTGGGGTCAACTCAGCCTCTAGCAGAAATGAGTACCAGGAATATTCTTGGGGGTAAAGGGAAGCCCACCCATAGGGCTGACAACCTTACTGCCATCTATGAGCTAATTGTCTAGAAAATGTGGGAACCTCAACATCTCACAACCCTATGGGTCTCCATGGACTCTTGCAGGGATACCTTTACTTTTTTTTACTTTTTACACATTAGCAATATATCTGTGAGGAACTCAAGATGGTGACAATAATGTGTACTTATAAATGGGAAGGAAACATGTTTACGCCATGTAGTGTCATATTCTAGACAACTTATAAACCTATATACATAACATTCCAAGTAATTGGGGGAATAAGATTAGGAATTTTGATCTGAAGATTACAGAAATGATATATTATGAAATGTGACACAAAAAATAAATATTGTCACGTGTTGGGTGTATAACTTGACAAATAACTTTACGCCTTCTTGGATGTAGCGAATTTATTGAACACTCGCTCTCACAATTACACAATTCACAACTCCTCAACTACTACCATCGGCAGTATCACAGATACTTCTCCTGTAGTCACTGCCATGCACTCGATACAACCCGACTCGGTGACTGCTAGATTGAAACTGACTGGTTACTCTCTCTCTCTAGTAACTCACAGCTGAATAGTGTTCGCTGCTCCTTATTTAGGCTTGGCACAGACAACACAGAAAACAGTTATGTGATAGGTATGGCTGTTGCGTAACGTCGTGTTTACCAATTGCCTAGCAACAGTCATTGCACGGGCTCCCCTGTTGCGTGACGCCATGTTTACAAAGGAGTTACTGGGCAACGCTGCGTAGCAACCAGCGCGTTTCGGCTTGGCACGGACAAACACCGCTTTTCTTAGTGTTGCGTAACCTGGCAACCGACCGTTTATCAAGGATCTGTCTTTGTGGTAACTTGTTCCACCTCCTGTTGCCCAGCAACAGTTAGACATGTCACAGCTCCCTACTTAAGTCTGTTCGTCCCGAATAGCCTAATAGTGCATCACCAGTCTTTTCCTTCCGAGGCTATACTTGCAGTGTCTTCTTTTTGTTTGTCTCGGTGTTTCTTTTCTTCCAGTTTTCCGTTCTCCAACTGCTACATCCGCTCCCTTCTTAAGACCAGCTTGTCTCGAGCAGCTTCCTGTTACAAGATCCAGTTGTATCACATTCGTCCCTCACATTCATCCATCACACATTCACTCTCTCTGGGGAAGCCGGTGCTCCTCCTCTGTGCTCTGCTTCTTTTTCATTTTGGAGGGGGTCGACTCCTCCACAAGGTCCAATCCTTTCTTGTCCGCAACTCAACAGTAGATCTGACCATTAGCTCGGCAATCTCCAGTCTTGCAGTTTTCATGACATTCGTGTCAAAATTTCCCGTGCTTTTCACTTGTACCGTCTTCATGTCTGGTTTCTTCACATATCACGGCTGTCCGCCACCTAGGTCCTTCACTTCATTTCTGCCTTGTAGTTGCTGTCTCAGGCCTCGGTTCCTGGTCAGGTCGGTGCCTTCCTGGTGCATCTGTTGTCTCCTTCTGTACATCCATCCTTTCCAGATTCCTCATACCACACTGTCTTTGTCATGAACTTTCCCAATGGCGTTATCCTTGCACTGTGCCACTCCTGCATGGTGGGTCGTCCTACTTCTAGAAGCGACCAGTTCTCTCCATGGGCAACACTTTTCCTGGGTAATGTATGACTTTACGATATCTCTCTTGTATCATGCCACTGTTGCACAACGGGACATCTTCCAGTTTATTGGCGTTTTCTGTGCCACTTTCACATGATGTGTTGTCCCTCTGCGGGCGACGGCCAGTCTTCAATAATAGTGTTCAATATATTCGCTACATCCAAGATGGTCAAAGTTATTTGTCGCGTTATACACCCAACACGTGACAATTTGGTGTGGTGCCTAATTAGTTAAGCACAAGGACACCTTTACCTTACTACCTTCTCATGGTAGCCATGCAAATTTTGAAACTGTCTTTGAGGTTATGTTGTAGTGCAAAGATGTTTAAAAAATTTGTTACTTTATTCATAACAAAAATTAATATGCAATTTCTTGGGTAGCATGTCACTACCTTGATTGACATGACAACTTACTGTGCTGTCAGAAATCCAACATTGCATTTGTTGCATTCACAGAAAACAATCTCATGGTTAAGAGTAATGAAGAAGATGCATTTCTGAAGCATTTTATCAGTGTAATATGGAACGTGAAAATCTCAAATAGGTTCATGGCTTTGGAAAACTTGGACACTGAGGTGAATGTTAATAAAGCTGGGGAAACTATTAGAGAGAGTATAATTTCTGCCAAGGAGAGTCTAGGTTATTATGAACCGAAGAAGCATAAGCCATGGTTTGATGAAGGATGCTCAGAATTACTAGACCAAAGAAAACAAGCCAAATTGCAATGGTTACAGGATCCAAGCAAAATAAATCGGGATAATCTGAACAATATAAGATGTGAAACCAGCAGGCATTTCAGGAACAAAGAACGGGAATATCTGAAAGACAAAATTGATGAGCTTGCAATGAACAGTAAGAACAAGAACTTTAGAGTCCTGTATAGAGGAATAAATGACTTTAACCCTTTGACGTGGTCATTTAAATTCCGTGGCCGCGGCTCCTGCGGTAATATATTCAGCCGGCCATTTAAATTTTGTTCGAAAATTATTTATTCATCATTGTTCTTAAATTCTATGAGATAGGAACATGAAACTTTCACTAAAATGATCTTAAATGGTNATAGATGAAATTACTGGGGATCATCAGTGTGGGTTTCGACGCAACAGATCAACTACAGATCAGATCTGTTGCATTTGTCAGATATTGGAGAAAAAAATGAGAGTACAATGAGACAGTAATCAGCTATTCATAGACTTCAAGAAAGCCTATGATTCAGTTAGGAAGGAAGTATTGTACAATATTCTGATAAAGTCCATGTAGGTAAACATTTGTCTGATAAATTTCCTATCCAGAATGGTCTAAGACAAGGAGATGCTTTATCGCCACTCCTTTTCAACTTTGCTTTAGAATATGCCATTAGGAAGGTCCGGGAAAAGCAGATGGGACTGAAATTAAACGGGACACATCAGCTGTTGGTCTGTGCTGATGATGTGAATCTACTGGATGATAATATGGGTATTATAAAGAAAACACACAAACTTTAATTGACACAAGTAAGGAGGTTGATCTAGAAGTAAACACATAGAAAACTAAGTGTATGTTGGTGTCTCATCACCAAAATGCAGGGCAACTCATGACATAAAGATAGAAAACAGATGTTTTGAACATGTGGCACAGTTCAGATATTTGGGAATGCCAATAACAAATCAAAACCTGATTTGAGGAGGAAATTAAGAGGAGATTGAACTTGGGTAATGCTTGCTACCATCAGTCCAGAACCTTTTGTCTTCTCGTTTGCTGTCCAAAAACATAAAAATTAGAATATACAAAACTATAATTTTGCCTGTGGTTCTGTATGGGTATGAAACTTGGTCTCTGACATTAAGGGAGGAGTATAGACTGAGGGTGTTTGAGAACATGGTGTTGAGGAGAATATTTGGGCCAAAGGGGGATGAAGTGACAGGAGGTTGGAGAAAACTGCATAATGAGGAGCTTTATAATTTGTACTCTTCTCCAAGTATAATTAGAATGATCAAGTCAAGGGGGATGAGGTGGGCAGGGCATGTAGCACGATTTGGGGAGAAGAGGAATGCATATAGGATATTGGTGGGAAAGCCAGAAGGAAAGAGACCACTGGGAAGACCAAGGCGTAGGTGGGTGGACAATATTAAAGTGGATCATAGAGAGATAGGATGTGATGGTATGGATTGGATAGATCATGCTGATTTGTATGCAGGGACAGGGGGACAGATTAGCTTGATCTAATGGACCAAACACAAAAGTGTTTTACTTGTACCTGATGGTAGAAGCGTTTGAAGTGTTGTCTTTCTTTAAACAAAATTAAAGAATGGAGAACATGGAACATACATGCCAGGTCAGTGGTCGGGTCACTTTGTCCCTTAGAGCAAGTCACAGAACTTACACTGGAAGTGCACATATGTTCCTAACAGCTACAGGAGTTCAGAACGCAGTTGTGAGACCGAGAAAGTTGTTTAGATGGAATGCTAACTGAGGAGGTACCCAGTTTGAATCTTGCCAGGGGCACCAACTATCCTGACTGGGGTTTTTATGGTTTTCATATGTCCCTCCAGGCAAATTAAAGGATAGTACCGCTTAAATAGGGGTACGATTGGATCCTTCCACATTCTGTCAAATTCCTCATTTACTGTCGTCACATAATTTGATGCTCTGCATCTCACATTGTCATTGAATAAATTACAGAGGAATCATTTCTGTGTTATGCTACTGGTATATGTTGACGTGAGAGGGATTGTTTGAATGATACAGTAATGAGGTTTTAGGTCCTCACAGAAGGGAATATTATGGTCACCGTCTTGTGGGATATGGCCCTGTGTGAGCAACCCTTAGTTTGTGCAGATAGGTGCCAACCCTGAAGTTGGCACTGTTCAACCAAACAACATGGTATCACATCCCACATCTAAAGACCCTTAAATATATTCAGGTTTTGAGCTGTATTTGAACTCAGCTTAACTGTATTTTCAAAACCATAGGTGTTCAGCTGAAATTGTAGATAAATGATATAATGATATAAACTCCATCCCAAGTGCAAACAATATACGTATTATGTGTCCTTGATCTTGCTCCTTTACACCACATGTTTTGGCCTCAGACGGCCATCATCAGGTGTATAACACTCATGTTGCTGTCACACTGCACCCAGCCCAAAATTTAACATTTAAAAACACTTTCCTTGTTATTATCAACATCTACTTCGTTGATATCTGTCTGGTTTGTAGATTATTTTACACACGTTAATTTTGACTTTCCTGTAGTAGCACTATAAAATCTTTAGTTCTAATTTTAAAATCCTTTAAAATTTTTCTCTAAATTTTAAAATTTAAAATTGTTAGGGTTACTCGCCCTATGTCTAAAGTGCTGCAGCGGCTAGTTCTTGTTTCCACACTGTATAGGTGTTATCATGTGTAGTCTTTTATCGTTTAGAGTGCAACAGGATGCTTAAATATAATAAAGAAATTGTAGATGTCCAACTAAGGCTGAAACCCAGCGAAGATTTGAACCAGATACCTCCTGAGTACAGGACAGAAATGTTACTGCTGGAGGCAGCTTGCTTAGTGCAGTTGTAATGTTGCAGTAAATTCATAAGTTGGTGGTGAAGGTTTCCAGCAGTGGACCTATATGGGAAGTCCAGGATGTTCAGAGCCTTCCAGCAGAGGATAAGAAAGCATTAAAAGTGCGAAGTCTTAGAGCTTTCAGCATGGTTTATTTGAGATTTATGTTTCCAGTTTCTGAGTACTGACATCATGTGACTTAACTGGCTGGTGTGGCAGTAACAGTGTGGACTTGCATCTGAGTGATGCTTGGTTCAAGTCACGGCCAGGACGCGGGCTATCCTAACTGAGTTTTCATGGTTTTCCTCAGTCCCCACAGGCAAATACCATGATTAGTCCATGACTCCTTCTTCCCAAATTCTTTTCATTTTATTTCCACCAGTCATACCATTCGATACTGTATAGCCTGAGATACTGTGTTGTAAAACCAAGCACAAAATAAAGAAAGAACAAAAGATGTCATGTGATGAGGTGGCATCTGGCATCATACTATACAACTTCAGGCAGAAATGACTGATACATCCGCTGCGAGTATATGTATAGTACTGTATCTTAAGGCTTTATAAAATGTGTCAGTTCCCAAAGTTATGTGATCCTAAATGTATTTTCTCCCAGGAAGCAGCACTTGTTTTACAATGTTGCTTATCTTAACATTCATACTTCTAGATGTTGTACAGATCTGCGTGACAGTGACCTGGAATTGACAGTTATACAAGGTATCAGCTATGCTGTACCGAACCCGAAGGAGGTGGACACATATGTGAAGTTCGAATTCCCTTATCCTGCGGTAAGTAATGTGTTATATTATTTCTGAATATGAGATTCTCATGCAGTGACTACGAAAAGGTCCTAGTTTGCAGAAGGTCCAATGTTCTAGAGGAATGTAGGGCTTTCTGCATACAATTTAATGTTACAACATAGAAGACCATACTCTTTATTATGGATCTTGTTACTGTTGTATCAGTCATGATATGTATTTTGCAGGAGGATCCACCAAAAGACCGTACACCCTTGGTAAAAGATACAAATAACCCTGAATATAATGCAACCTTCAATTTAACAATCCATCGTAACTCACGAGCTTGCCAGCGAGTCTTTAAGAGACATAGCATCAAGTTGGAGGTCTGGTCACGAGGGTAAGTTAATCACACAGAAAAGCAAAATCTGTCCCCATGCTTAATTAATTAATTGAGTGCTGTGCCATGAAGACATAAAGGGTAGTGGAGATATAGCTCCATATGTTCTTAACCTCAGTGCTAGATGGAGGTGAAAGTGTCAGCTTCATGCCTCAGCCACTTCACCTCCAGTGAACAAACCCTTAGAGTGTATTGAATAGGAGGTTGAGTGCTCCTAAGAATTAGTCTGGACACTTTGGGGAAGAGAAAAATCTCTTGTCCCTGATGGGATTCATACCCCAGTTCCTCGATGTTGGTTTGAATCTTGGCACAGACACTGGTTATCATAACTGAGGTTTTCATATTTTCTGTCAATCCCTCCAGGAAAATTCTGTGATAATATTTCAATTACGCTATAACCACGTTCTTAAACACCTTTTATAAGTCATCATTCACCTGCCATCCTACCGTTTTACACTGTATAGTCTGGGTAGTGACAGCATCATAAAGTATCCCATAAGAACGTTATTCCGGAGTTGCTGTTGCTGATTTAGTGTTCAACTTTGAAAACCTGTCTTTTTATAGGGGCTTCTTCAGGAGTGACGTGCTGATCGGGACAGCCACCGTGAAGCTTCTTCCCCTAGAAACGAAATGCACAATTCACGACTCGTTCGATGTAAGTTCTGTCACAAGTAATGAAATGTACACATGGAGCTGATGGAACATAAAATAATTGAAATGCTTCATTCTTTTGTCTAGGAACTGAAATAATTTTAATTGATAGAAATTGTAATTTTATAATATTATATTGTAACATCCTGTTGTACTTTTCATTTACTGTCAATTAGATTTTTACAGTCTGTGCAACAGTAATGTTCTATAAAATTTATTAAAAGATATTCACTTTAAAAGTTTATCACTATATGTTTCTACCAATGTGATCCTTATCAGGTGTTAAAATCTTTGGCGAAGAAACTGCTGTCTTCTGTTTCATTGCTTATGTTGTTAATATGTCAGTTCCTTCAGTGCACTTGTGTGTTGTGAGTTGGTGGGTTGTGTTCTCTCCTGTTGTGTGTTGTGCTGCATGTATTGTTTTTTTAATTTTATCTAAAATTATGCAGCAATGGTATATTAATGCAGTTACTGTGTTTCTGGAAATAGTCCATTGTTCTGTTTTTATTTAAAACTCAACAGCATTTCGGTGACTGGATACTGTGTGTGTCTTCAGGTGGAGCCTACTCAGTTGGTCCCAGTCAGTAGAGCTAGACCCTGTCTCCAGAGATAGGTAGTAGGTTCCAACTGCAGACGGAGACAGAATCCAGTCTCCGATACATTGTGTGTCTTAAATAAAAAAATGACAGGATGATGAATAATGTCTGGAAACAATAATCTTGTAATTTTATATTAGTAAAAGTTCATATTTATAATGGCTAGGAATTCATTGTCAGTTGGTACTACCTGCTAACTAATGTACTAACTCCTGGAGCCGAGTCCTTGAGAAGCCAACAGCTACCCAGCCACTCAAGAAATGCCTAGCATTTTATGGAACCTGAAGGTTTATTGCTGTGTTCATAGCAGACTGCCACTAGTCCCTCTCCTTGGCCATATGAATCCAGTTCACACCCTCCCATCCTATTTCTTTTAGATTAATTTTAATATTATTGTCCATCTACATTTAGGACTTCCTAGTGGTTCTTTCCTTTAGGTTTTCCTGCCCATACTTCTTATGCTTGTGTCCTATGTGATACATACCCGGCCCATTTCATTTTCCTTGACTTGATTGTTGTAAATATATTTTGTGAAGAATATGAGACATGAAGCTTGTCATTGTGCAATTTTTTTTTACCAATCTACCGTTACTTCATCTCTTGTTAAGTCCAAATGTGTTCTTCAGCATTGTTTGCAGATACTCTCAGTGTTCTTTTTACTTAAAGTTATATCCTTCAGCAAGTTAAATAATTGAAGGCAGAAATCAGCTGTTTTGGAAGCATCATGAAGATCCTTTCACTTCCACATATTACAGTATTCGAAAAAGTCGATTTTGAGGTTCTGACTGGTAAAATATATGTATTTTCAGAACCCCTGAACATGGAAGCATATTATAGGAAAGTATTATGATGATGAAAAGAAAAATCGGTCTCAAGGGTTTGATGAATTTACACATTTTCAGGCTCCCAAAATATGAAGAAGTGTGTGCGTGCGTGCACTCCCCCCTTGAATGAATGAATGAAAGTACAAGGGTTGGGCCTTCTTGGCCCTTGCACCGCGACCTTCAGTGACCTATTGTGCTTCCCCTTTTGATTATCCCCTCAGCAATCCTGCGCTTCAAATGAAGCGCACGATTTTATACATAGGGGCGTTGAAATGGTCACTTGGTTCCATAAAGTATTGACCCAAGTGACGTAGTCTTAAATAAGCTAAGGCCTCACATTCACACAGGATGTGTGTGGCTGTTTCGTTTTCTGTCTGACACCTCTCACAAGTGCGACTATCACTTAGTCCCAGTTTAGCGGCCTCCGTAATCTAGGGGTAACGTTCCCACCTCATGACTCAAGGTACGCGGGTTCAAACTCGGTGGAGGTCGTGGAATTTTTAAGGGCGCATAAATTCAGGGAACAAGTCCTCCAGGAGGGACTTTGTAAGGTAAGGGCTTCCTTGTAGGTGTCCCACTGTTCTGTTCTTTTAGCTGTATTAAACAGCCTTCTCGTTTTGGTTCTAAGCCCACTCAACTGTTTATTCCACCAAGGCACTCTCCTTGGTTCGCAAGTGGCCCTAGCCGGACAATTCCGATAAAAGGACAAGATAATAGCCTGTTGCAACTGGTCAACTGACTGATCAACATCCTTTATTGTGCGTATATTTCATGAGATGGTCTCCAGATTTACTTTTAGGTCATCTTTGTAAGACTCCAAATTGGTTCTCTTAGATTCCTATAAGTAGCTTGATCTACTGTAATGTTGCTTATTTGAAAGCATATATATCTGTGATCCGATAGGGACGGCTCATCAGATACATGCCAATTACTTACCCGGTTTCCTATGTTATTTGTCCCTAGTGTCAAATCAATAACCTCCTTCCTACTGCAAACTACAAAGGTAAGTTCATTACCGTAGTTTAGAATATTGAAGTTCGAACTCAAAATTCCATAAGGCTCTCTCCCCTTGGGTTAGTGCCGGTGCTCCCCCACAAGATGTGGTGCGCATTGGCATCACATCCGATGATGAGTTGCTTTTTCCTGCTACAGCAGTAGTCTATGATGTCCCTCATCTCCTTAGTTGGTGGTGGTTCATCCAAGTCGTATGGAAGGTAGACTGAAGCAATAATCAGCTCCCCGCTGCCTCCTCAATACGTGTATGCTATCCTTACCGCTGTTGCATCCCTAGAACAGAGCTCCAGCAAAGGCAAGGCATTAACATGATTCCTGATATAAACACAAGATCTTGCATTTTATTACTGGGTACAGCAGAGTAAACTGTTCCCCCTGTGTTAGTTAAGCCCCTTATTTGACCCTTGTCCAACCAAGGTTTCTGAATAAGTGCTATATCTGCCTTACCCTCAGCTAGTTGTTGGCACAGAGTTGCCGTGGCAGCTTTGCTGTGGTGTAGGTTAATCTGAAGAAATTTCATGCTCTTAGTGATCTCTTCCAATTGGGGAGGGCTCAATTTCCATCTTATGTCCCTCCCCGCCCTCGGACTGGGTTCCGTGTGAAGGGGTCCCCTGATCTGCTTTGCTTTGGTCATCCAGGGTGTGGGTATCTAATCCCCTTCCCCCTCACAGACCTAGTTAGAAGATACTGTATCTGACAGGTTCTGCCCAGCACTGATCCTCAGGATCATTCAGCACCTTAACAGTCCCCTGTGAGAGTCCTGTAAATATTTTGTAGCTGGTCCTCTGTATAATAGTATGGGAGTCCCAGTCTATGAATCAGATGAGCCTTTGGCCTTTCGACTCAGATTGCTTATCGAGTACCTTCCAGTTCTCAGTATGAATTCCTGGGTTGAGGTCTGCAATCCATTTCAGCAGCTCTTCCTGCTTCTGGGCAACTTTGTCCCTAGTCTGGAGAGCCACTTTAACAGTAGCCTTCAGCCTGGCCCCTAATTCCAGCCTGTGGTTGTTAGTGGCTTCGGTGAGCCACTGACCAGACTGTTGGTCGGCGCATACATAAATAAGTGCACCTCCCACTAGTCTGTAGGATTTCAGGTGTGGTAGTTCTCCCTTTGGAGTCCTACATAACACCTCCCCCAATACTTCCAGAATGGAATTTTGGTCATCATCGGTAAGCTTATCCTCAGGATAGGTTTCCTTGAAGATAGCTACTTTTATATTGGTCAGAGCCTCCTTGTAAGTCCCTGGGCCTTTTTGGAGTTATGGCCATTTCTGTGGGGGTACTGCCCTCCAATCTTGGCCTCTTAAAGGTGCCGGTGGGGGTTTCTCCCTACTTGGATGAGCCTGCATTTCCTGGTTTCTGACTGCCCCCAATTGCTTTGCTTGCCTCAGCTCTTGCCTTTTTCAATTTCCGTCTAGTGCATCCAGACAAGGTTCTTTTAGCTAGACGCAGTCCACCTTCTCCAGAGACTAGGTGTCCAGTCCTTCTCCTGCTGCAGGTGTGTTTGAGGTACTAGCTCCCTGCAGTGGTGTGTCAGTACTACTGACCCCCAGGAAAGTAGTTTTTGGTTTTACCTCTGGCAGGTTTTGAACCACTGGTTCGTCCCTGCCTTTGGCTGAAATTTCAACAGCAGGTTCGCTGGTTGCAACTGGGCCCCTTAATGGTTCACCAGAGCTTCCAGCCCCCTACTGAAGCATTTATCATAGGGATCCCCTTGCAGGGGGGGTCTGTCTCTCTTCAGTTTAAGGTCTTTACGACCAGTTTTTAATTTGGTTCCTTTATTCATTTCGGTCCCATGAGTTTTGGGGATTTAAAAGGTCACCACCTGCAGTGCCCCATATTGGTGGAAGGCATAAATACAGTGGGTTGTTGCCTGGTACCCCGAGGGGATCGTTCAAGTCACTGGCTAATTACCACCCCAGTGCCACGCAGCCCTCAGCACGATGCCTCACACCTTGGCTTGGGTGGTTTGGTCCTGTAGTAAATGCAACCCTCACAAGCCTCCAGGACCAAGAGTGCCTGTTCGGGGGGAGAGGGGTATCCCAGATGATAAATTGTAGTGCAACACTGAGGTCATGAGGTTGCGACCAGGGCATCCTACATGAGAAAGTCGCCCCTGGGGGTTGCTTATGAGCTCGCCCATTCCCACCCCTCCACATGGGTTGGTCAAACCATTTTAGAGTGTTGAGCCCTAAGGCTTGCGGCATCTTATCGGTACTCTAAGGGGACAACTCAAATAGCCAAAGCTACCCCATAGGAGTGTTCTCCCGCATTCGTCCCAGGTACACCGTAGTGACACCCAAGAGTCATTATGCTGCCGCATGGGAGGCTCTGGTCATAAAGCCATCGCCCTTTATGGGAACTTGGCCACCAGACCCAGAAGGTCATACTGATCCAGACCCCCAAAACTGTCGTTGCCCAGTGGGACCATGAGGAGGTGTCCCAAGGTTGTGTCCCAACACATCCCTGGTCCATGATACGTCCCCACCAAAGACACAGCCGTGGATCAGCCAACCTCACCGAGGATGGCGTCATTACCACCTGTAACATGTGACTTAAGAACACCACAGTTACCGCGGGATCAAACCTGGGCTGCCACATGTTCCCCTTGCTAGTATCTGAATAGCTGAATGGATTCTGTTCATATTCAGTATTTAAGACCAGTGAATGTAAACATTCATGCCCCTCTTATGATGGCAATTTTCTTGAGAACGGCTATGATGATTTTGATTAAATTTTAGTAATTGTGGAGCCGTGATAATGTAGTCGGTATAACAGCTGGCTATGGGCTGGATGACCATGGGGTCAGAGTTCAAGTCCCGGTAGGATCAAGAATTTTCTGCACGGTGTCCAGACCAGCTCTGGGGTTCACCCAGCCTAACAAATGGGTACCAGGTGCTCTTTCCCCAGGGGTAAAGCGGCCGGGGAGTGAAGCTGACCACTCACCTCCAGCTAGTGCCAAGATCAAGAAAATGTGGATCTATACATCCACTCCACCATACACTTTCATGGTGTAGTGCTTAATTAGTTAAATAGAGGGACAACTTTACCTATTATAGAGACTATTGCCCTAAATGAAACAAAGGTCTACCAAGCAAGTCAGATTCATTTCCAATGTAATGTGGTCAAGACTGATTATATATAAGAAAGTATATGTTCATCGTCTATTTACCAGTTTTTATACAAGTGATCTTGAATGCACAGAGACCGCATATGGAGTATGATTTTACATTGATGAAATCCCTTGTGCTTTACTGGTGTTTCAATATCAGAATCAATGCTATAAGTGCAATACATCATTAAATATGGACATTTAAATCATTATAGTCTGTATGCAATATTAAATGTGCTTTTAGATTTTAAAGTTCATTTCACATTAATTGCTGTAATAGAACTTTAGCCTATGTATATTTTTAGATGTGACAGGCAGCAGCATGGCTATTGTATTTTCCTGTTTTGTCATTTATTATGATTTACAACTGTATTTTTTATTTCTTCGTCTCTTTTTAGTCATTGTTCTCTGGTGTGAACTCAGATGAACTTTATGACTTTCATGATTATATACTGTCTCAAAATTTGCCGTGTTGTATGGGAGAAAAATTTTTTAAAACTTCGCTAAGAACAGCCAACTGTGTAGAAAATATACATGCTTATTTATATAAGACATACGTGGTCTGACAATAAAGTTTGCAAACTCATTGCGGTAAAAGTGCTACATACCTCATTGCTGGTTATCACTGTGGTCACCTTCAAAGTACTCCCCTTGGGAAGCTATGCACCAATGCCAGCGCCTGGTCCACCCTTCAAAACAATTTTGGAACTGGTTTTGTGGAATGGTCTTCAGAGCTGCTGTCGTGTTACTCCCGATGTCATCATTGTCATCAAAATGCCTTCCTTTCAATATTTCCTTTATCTTCTGGAACAGAAAAAAGTCACTGGGGGCTAGATCTGATGAATAGGGAAGGTGTTCCAGCACATTTATTTGATTACTAGCTAAAAACTCCCTCACAGACAGTCCTGTATGAGCAGGTCCTTAGGGACCATTTTTGCACACACCTTACTCATGCCAAGATCTTCATTTGAGATTTTCCTGAGTGTTTCTCCGTCAGTGTTTGCTTGTTCTGCTATGCTCCTGACAGTCAGCCGATGTTTTTCATGCACAATTTGACACACTTTTGCATTGTTTTATTCAGTTCTGCTCATTGCTGGCAGTCCTGATCTCTCTTCATTAGTGACACTTTCTCTTCCCTCAGAAAAACGTGTCACCTACTAGTAAACTGCTGTCTTCTTCATAGCATTATCCCCATAAATTTGCCCTAACATCTCTCTGATTTCGCTTCCACTCTTGCCAAGTTTAATAAGAAATTTAATGTTCGTTCCGACATTCTCACGACAGCACACCAAACACACTCAGGCAATAACAGACGCCACTCAGAAAGACACCGCCATAGATCAACAACAACACAGCTGTGAAACACTGATATGCCAAAATCATCACACCATACTGAGGTTTCTGTCCACTGCTGCCATGGCAAGCACACGGTGGCAAGTTTGCGAACCTAATTGTCAGACCTCGAATACTTGCTTATCCTCTCTTGATATTTATTCTGTTCTGATATTGAAATTATAACTGTTATTTGTACTGTTTTTTAGCTATACAATCTGTGTGCAGAACACAGTTCTGGTACATTAAAACTGATGGTACAAATAATAAGCACTGGGCTTTGATGGATTAAGCACTAAAATTATTCTTATATACAGTATTAAATTATTAAAAATTAGTATAATCGAACGTGTAAAAGTCATTTAATCCTCTAAAGACTGAATTTCTTGATGATGTAAAAAAATTCAGTTTGAACCTCACAGAAAATATACCCATATTACACATCTGCTACAAAACCAGCCAATTAAAGCTGTTTAGGGGGGAAAAAATCACTGTTCATTGTGAAAACGATGTGGAACACACAAATAAAGTTTGTGGACAGAAGGTAGAATTATAGTGTGTTAAGCAGGCAGTACATATAGAATCACTTGGTTCACTTGGTTGATCGTGAGCACTGTGGGTATACTTTTTAGTTAAAATATCTACAATATCCCTTGCTTGGTTTTCTGGGATTTGCCACTAAGAATTGTGTAATATGCTGTGTGTTGGTTGGATAAGCATTTGTCATGTGCTGGCTGATTGGCAAGTGTGTAGTGAACAGTTATATGTCAGTATAAGTACAGTTAGGATTGAATTACATCAAGTGTAACAGTGTTGTTTAATAATAAAATAAGAGTCTTTGCATGTTCTGCCCAGTTATGACTGTCACTGGAAGGCAACCACCACTTCAAAGGAAATGCTTCTCATGTGTTATATGGGTGAAAACACTATTATCCAAAAATTTTTTTTTAATAATAGGATTTTTTCGATTGATCAGAATTTTTCTGTAAGTCCCAGTGGTGGTCATATTCCTTCACAGTAGATCATCTGTATTTTGCTGGTTTTGTATGTGTGGCTGGAGTAGTGCTGTTGTGTTGTATGTTAATGTATTGTTAAAACTGCAGTACAGTCCCTTGTGTGATTGAGATGCTGTTATGTTCCTCATATTTCAGCTCATGGATGGTCGCAAATCAGTTGGCGGGAAGTTGGAAGTGAAGGTACGCATCCGTCATCCAATCCTTACAAAGCAAGTGGAACAAATACAAGAGAAGTGGCTTGTCATTGATGACATAAAGTGAAGAAATTGTAAGGTGCTATATATATATCTTTGTGAAATAATATTTATTTAACAGTGTATAAAACTATGTCATGTTATTCAAGACAGTAATGTTGTACTGCAACATCCCATGGCAAGTCACTTGTTTCTACTTCCTGTTTACCATCTCACATGCAGACCTGTGTTAAAATCTTAAAATTAATGTGTTTTGAATTTTTAAAATAGTCTTCACATCATTGCTGCACTCTACGTTTTGTCCAATACAGTCATCACCAGGTGCTTCAAAAATTGCTGTTTGAAAACTACTGCACTTCTATCAGTGAATACAATTCCAGCATATACCCTCGTTTATGTGCCCCTGTGTTGTTGTGCATTTGTAGTACTGAGTGATTCCTCTTATGTGTCATGTGTTTCTATGATGATGACCATATAGGTCAAAACATGTAATGCACCAGTGATGTGAAGAATAATTTTGAAATTAAAAAACATGAATGTTAAGATTTTAACAAAAGTTTGCATGTGAGACAGTGAAGTAAGAAGAGAAAATTGAAAGCAGTGTTAGGGACGCTGTACGGTTTCAACCATAATGGTTTTTAACCCATTCCATGGGATGTATGACATACCTCACTTATAAATGATGACTATTCTGATGTGAATTCATTTGATGTCTGACAAGGTCAGCGAATGAAACCTTGTCACCCTTCAGCTTTATCGAGTTGTATTTTTTCAAGAATATTGTTTATTTAAAATATTTGGATGGTACGTCATAACTTGAGAAGACAGCTCTACGTAAGTAATGTCGTTTACAAAGATATCATTCAGAACGGTGTTTTTGTTCCCATTATATGTTGAAAATACAATAAAAAGGAGAAATTGTCCGTGTGCTTCGCTAATCAAACACTGCACCATGAAGGTGTATGGAGGAGTTGATGTATAGATCACATTTCCTTGACCTTGGCACTGGTTGGGAGGTGAATGGTGAGCTTCAAGCCCCAGAATCAGTCTGAACAACATGAAGAAGAGAAGTTTCAAGACCCTACCGGGACTCCACCTCCGACCCCTTGGTCATCCAGCATGTAGCCAGTTGCTGTACCGACTTTTTCTGTGTGTAAAACAACTTTGATGGTGTTATTATCATATAGTGACACAGATAGTCACATCATCAGAAAGTTATTAGATTCTATTTTCACCATAAGATGGTGGTGACAAGATGCACCCCCCCCCCCCCCCCCCCACCTTNACATTCCCAAGGAGACAGATTCTTGGTAAACAGCCCATTGCTACGTAAAGCCTACAACAGTATGCAGACAATCATATAACTTTTGTTGCTCTGCAACGAGCTGTAGGTACAATATGTGGTTTGCATATATCCATTCCTGGACAATGGTTGTGTTTTACAAATCACTACAGCACACACAAAGTCTTTTCAATGTGTTCTGTCTTCACAGGTTGTTGCTTTGTAGCAGCTTCTAACGATGTACATTCTGTTGGTCCTTAGTGACTGCATAGAAAATGCCACTACCAACAATTTTACAATCATTGCATACAAATCCATTGTCACAGGAGCGTGTTTTTACTGATCATTTCCTAGCAATGACTGTTTCTTCCGGTTCAGCTATTCCACCTTTCAGGCACTGTGTTACACAATATTATTGATTTATATTTTCTCATGTTTCTGTGGGTGAATATTGTAGCATTTCAAATAATAATGTTATTTATGAAGTTATTTTTGTTTATTTAATTTATCATTGTGCTTTTCTTTTTTAAGGGAAATTTTTGGATACAGGCAAGCCATTAATCTCGGTTTTCTAGACTGGAGCTGCTACTTTTCAATTCAAGTAACTCCTCAATTATCCTCACAAGGCTGAGTGGACCCTGTTCCAGACCCACTTACTTACTCATGGAGCTGAGCCCTTCTGGAGGAGCCGCCAATTCTGCAGCTACTCAATAATTTCCCAGCATTTTTTGGAACCCAAAGGTTCAATACCGTGTTCACAAGAGCCCTACGCTGGTCCCTCTCCTGGTTCCAGACCCACTACTACTCAGAAAATCTGGTAGCGCCGAGAATCGAACCCAGGACCTCAGGATCTGTAGCCAGGAACTCTGACCACTAGACCACAGAGGCGACCAGAAAATAATGTCATGTGTACTATGGGCCCAGATGTTAAAAATTAATTTTGTTGAAACCTGCTTTGCCGGTTGGATAGATTTGTTCAGTATTCATTAAGCAACAGTCTGTTTTGTTTCCAATATCAGTCATAAACAGAAAGTATGTGCAATGTAAAGACAGTGTTTTCTCTTAATTAATATTTATAGTGGCCTTTTATTAAAACGTTATGACACTTTTCCCTTCTCCTTTCCTTTCCTATGGTTTCAGAGGATGGATATTGCCTTATATAACTAGGCCAATGCAGTGCCTTATTGTGTCTGTGTGCATGTGCCAGAAGAAAAAATATTGACACTTGGAGAGGTTGCTGAGGGGATATTTGGACCTCTGAAAGCTGAAGTATGAGGGGAAGGAATTTACATACTTAATTTCTACCCTTTACCTTATGTGAGCTGCGGTAGCTCTGTATAGCGATGGGCTACAGGCTGGACAACAAGGTTTTGATTCCTGATGGATACGAGATGTTTCTCTTCTACATAATATCTGGGCTGGCCTTGGGTCTCGCCCAGCCTCCTGTGGAATGGGTACTGGAGGCTTTTTTCCTGGGTGTGAAGTTAGCCACTTACCTGCATCTAGTGCTGTCAAGAGCTATACTCGTACCTCCACATGTCTTCATGGTGTGATTAAGCACCAGGATAACTGTACCTTTTTACACTTACCCTTTACCTTATTGTAATCAGTATAGCAACTGGCTACAGGCTGGACAACCGAGGGGTCTGAGTTCAAATGCTGGTGAGGTAAAGAAGTGTCTCTTCTCCTTGTCATCCAGATCGGCTCTTGGGTCCCCCAACTTCCTATCCAATGGGTACCGGGGGCTCTTCACCGGAGGTAAAGCGGCCGGAGCTTGAAGCTGACCACTCACCTCCAGCTAATGCAGAGGTCAAAAAATGTGAATTTATACATCCACTCCCCAATACACCTTCATAGTGTAGTGCTTAATTAGTTAAGCATAAGGACAAGTTTACCTTTTACCTCACTCAGTCAGTATAACGTGCCTAGAGCCTGTACAACCTAGGAATAAAATTGTGAAAGTTGGTCTCTTATGTTCAGTAAAGTTTTATAATGTAGACTTTTATAATATATACCGTTCTTCAAGTCATATGGACAATTTGTCACATAACTGGCTGCCACTTCTGTACTGTCTGACATCCATCACCTACCACGAGCTTCCACCTGGCCGATAGGCCAGAATGTCATCAATCGTAACAATTCACTGTTCAAAACATCTCATAACTTTTAATTTTTTAATTTTAGTGGTAAATGAAGGAAACCTTAAACCGAGAAATATTAAATGGGAGTTTCACTGCAGTGTCTGTGTTTCCTATGACATAATATTCAATTTGGCACTGTTCCTAAATTAACTGATTGAAGATAAGAAAATGTAAGGTTCCTTATGCAGGACAGTTCCACAGCCTGGGCATAATTAGTAGCAATATATGGCAAATAGGTGATAAGTTCATTGTTCCTGTTACCAACTGATACAAATCGTATGGTTTTGTTTATGGAGCTGACTAACAAAGTGTTTCAGAAGTCTTCAGTTATTCTGAGAAATGAGTAGGCAGTAGCAAGAGAATTAGGAACACAACAAAGTGCATAAAGAATTTTGGTTGAAAACCTGAAGGGACGAGACCATTTTGGATACTTAGACTTAGATAAGAGGATAACATTAAAATGGATTTTAAAGAAATAGTATAATGACTGGATTCATCGCCTGAGGGCAGAGTCACTGGTGGGCTGTTCTGAACACTAATGGAATTTCAGGGTCCATAAAAGATGAAGTTATCCCTATGCTTAATTAAGCACCATGCCATGACCTTATGGGAGAGTAAGCGTATACCTCCACACATTCTTAACCTCGACCCTACATGGAGCTGCATATCCTGGATACTTATCCCCACAGGAAGAACATCCTGTGCCAATTGGATAGATGGTTGAGTGGCATACAGAACCAACCTGTACACTGTGGAGAAGAGAAATATCTCTTGCCCATACTAAGAACCAGACCCAAAATCCAGCCTGTAACCTAATACCAAATGAGCTGAAGGACTGTTGGCTTCTCAAGGAGGACTTTGCTCCATGGAGTTAATTAATCTGTTTTCTGTCAAGACAACTTTGCCATCCATGCACTAATTGTAAGAAACTTACTCCATGTCAGAGATGATTCCCCCAACTGAAATATCGAGGGGGTGACAATGCCATGATAAGGTCATGGCTGCCATATATCAAAGGGCAATCAGTTAAACTGAAGAAATTCAGGAAGAACCATTTGGGATTGAACCAGAGCCTCCATGGTGAGTTGGCGGCATCTATTCACGTGAGTTATGGCACAGCCAAGCCAAGTGAGTGGTCTGCTTAACACCCCAGCCCCTTTACCTCCAGAAAAGGACTTCAGTATCCAGTTGATAGGAATCTGAGCAGGGTGCACTGAGAACATCTTTGCAAAATTTTATTTAGCCATAATATAATTGATAGTACCTGTAAATACAGAAAGGTTGTAAATGTTAAGAAACCCAGTTAGTGAAGGTTGCTGTTAGCAGGCAGTCCCGTGGGATTGCAGGTGTATTTGGTCTGTAGTTCCTGAGTGCCTTGTGGTCCAGCAACTAACAATATCACGATTTGGTTCTGGCATGATCCAAGTCTTGTATAACAGACTGTTTCGTGGACAAGAACACTAGCAGTTTTCTTTTTCTCAGAAAGCAGCCGTGGACACCTATGGGATATTACCAAAGGAAGGCAGCTGACTTTCTGGGAGAAGGGGGTTCAGAACATTTGTTAACAAACTTGCTACTAAGGAGAATGTTCTTGGTGATCACCCTTACAGTATAAAAAGTAAAAGAAAGCTACCCTGTAACAGGCTGTAAAGGCCCATAGGGTTGTGAGACGTTGAGGGCCCCACATTATCCAGACAGTCGGCTCAAAGATGGCGGTAAGGTTGTCAGCCTTATGTGCCGGCCGCGCTTTACTCCCCAGGAAAGTTATTTAATTAATTCCTGGTACTCATTTCTGTTATGGGCTGAGTCAACCCCAGGGCCATAGTGCGGCCAGAAGGATTAGGTCAATTGAAAAATCCAATGACCTCGTCGGGACTTGAACCCGCGACCTTCCAGCTTGTAGCATAGTGCCTCGACCAACTACACCCCTCATCCTTACAGTATTCATGATAGAAATATATTTTTAAACACGTTTAATTTTTATTAGGAGCCTGGATAGGCCAGTCGGTATAGCAACGGCTACTGGATGGGCGGCCAAGGTTCAATTCCTGGAAGCGGCAAGAGATTTTTCTGTACTCCACAGCGTCCAGACCGGCTCTGTGCCCCCCCCCCAGCTTCTTATAGAACAGCTTTCGTGGTGTCTTCATTATGTGGTGCTTAATTAATTAAGGACAGGTACAACTTTACTTTTACCTTTACTTACCAAGTCTTTTATTCATGTTTTAGTATATTGTGAGCTGCGATAGCTCAGTCGGCTGGACAGTTAGAAATCATGGCTCATGTTCTTTTTTCCTACAGTTGTAAGAGATTTCTGTCCACAGCGTCCACAGGTTTTAGGCCCACCCATCCTTCTGTCCGGCAGACAGCGGGGGTTCATTCCCTACGTGTAATGCGCCCGGGACGTGAAGCTGACCACTTACCTCCAAAT